TCACCCCTTGCTGACCTGGGTGCCGGAAATTGCACGTAAAACCATCCCGCCTGGACTGCATGGCCTCACTGGCCTTTGCACACACAGCAGCACCAAAACCCAGAACAGAAGTGAACACTGGTCTTACAGGTTTTGGCGCTCCTGTGCCTGCGAAAGCCAGCTGACTGGCATGTGTGTGCACAGGAACACGGAAGAGGAGCCAGAGAGGCTGCGCATCCTGTGCGGAATGGCTCTGCATGCCGTTTCTGGCACACCTGCCATAGATTCACTACCACAGTTCTAGGTAGTTTACAATTTTAGAGCTATTTTGGTATAGTGGTTAAAGCATCAGGGCATAACTGGGAAACTGAAAATTTTGGATCAATTGCAGCTTCCGGATATTCTTCAAGAAGAATCCCATTTATTAATTTAAACAATGTATGTGGTGCCTTGAAGCCCCATGAAGAACATATTAATCTGCTCAAAAGATGACTAAGCATGAATGATCATGGACAGCATCTGTTGATCCAAGAAGGGGCATAATTGGCACACAACACAAAGTTGTGAATAAGCCTCCCTTGCTGCCTAATTCTCAAAACAGCAGCTGTGAATTTAGGAAGACTCCTCACTGTTTGTGTTTGGGGAAGTACAACTCCCCCCCTCCAGAATTAAAGATTGGAAACCATCAGTCCAGGAGACCTTAAAATCTTCAGTTTTGTTAGGATTGAGCATAAGCCTATTCTTCCCCAGAGTCTCCAGACACTAAAACAGAACTTCCACAAAATCACTTGGTTGGTCTGGAGATATAATACTGAGTATATTGATGACACCTCAACCTGTGTCACTGAATGACCTCAACAGTGGTTTCATCTAGAATGTTAAAGAGAGTGGAGAGATTGGTGAGCCCTGGGGATACCCACAAAAATAAGACACAGGCTGAACAGTGACTGCAACTTAGAAAGAAGCGGGAAGAAAATCAGTACAAAATTGTACCCCTAATTCCTAACCTTTAGAACCAGTCCAGAAGGATATCGTAATCTGTTATACTGAAAGCCAGGAACAGATGGCTTTCAATATCACTAAAATAAGAACAGGTGCATTACCATCATCCTGCTCCCTTCAATGGTCATCCCCAAGAGCACTCAATGCTCTTTTGGTTCCATACATGGGCCTGAAACTCGACTAAAAGGGAAATAGATGCTTTCTCCAGCACTCTCTGAAGCTGTAGCATTGGGTCTACTGATGACAACTTCAGGAAGAAACAGACCACCATTCTTTAAACTCTCTCACTGCCCAGACCCAACCACATATCCTTTGAGAAGCCTTGGCTAACCAGGATCTAATACGGAGATGGCCAAGCTCACAGCACTGACCAATAGGGTCCCAAGTCAGCCAAAATAATCAAGCAAAAGTAAACTTCAGTAAACTCCATGGACCTGCATCAAGGTTGGTCCAGCTTGGAATGAATCTGAATGACTTTATCCATTAGCTGCCTAGCATATTCCTTACAGTGGCCTTGTAAGTGAGTCTCCAGCCACACTTCCCCAGAAGGAATAGGACCACTTGACCACTTGGCTATCTGCAAATGCAATAAGGGCAAAAAAGGAATGATACTTTGACATACTTCTTGACACGTGGTAGTCCTTAATATTGGCTCTAGCTCATGCTGAATTAGATTCACCTCTCTTTGTTCTCCAAAAATGTTCTGCTGTGGCATAAACATAGCTGATATGTGGCTGCTGTGGAGTGTGGGAAAGCATGCAGGTGGCTGCTGTAGTATTAATGCAGCTGGACAAAGGGATGCTGCAGCTTGGTGCGACTATACAGTGAGGGTGAAGTGGAGTGCTCCAGGCAGCTGCCTGCACTACGGAAAATGAGATTCCTCAGGATCTCATATTCCATAGGAGAAAAAGGAGAAAAGGGAGTCAGAGTGGGAGCAACTTACAGGAGTGACTTTCAACCTTCCCTGTCAGTTTTGCTTATGCCAGCAGGGAGGGTCACAAATGGCAATCAGGGCCACAGGATGCTGCAACCATCATAAGTGTAAGCTGGTTTCTAAGTACCTGGATGGTAATCACATGACCATGTGGGTGCTGGGGTAGCTGGAACTTCAAGGACTGATCCTAAACATCACTCAGATCAGTGCATGGTTACTGAATGAGTGGCTGTTAACCAAGGACTATCTGTAATATACACATCATTACTACCTGTATTTCTTTGCTTTACTCTTCGCTCTCACTATCTGCAGCTGAAAACTGGAAGTTATATTTAATTATTATTAAAAGTCACTACAAAAACCCCAAATGCTGCTTTAAAAACACTATTCTTTAAAGTACTTACATCTGGATCAAGTTCCAGTAGCTCATCTTCTAGCATCTTAATTTCATCTTCTGTCAGTGCTCCAAGGATCTGATCTTCATCTAGATCTCGGTATTTCTCTAAACCTTGTCTATATGACATTTTGGAGAATTAGCTTTTTTGATCTTTTCTGGATTTTAAGTCTCTTCTTCCCAAAATACAGGACCTGGATGATTAAAAAATTTAAAAAATATTAAAACTTAGGTTGCATGGTGGTAGAATTATCATAATAAGAAATCAGGTTGATCATAATCACTAGATGGCAGCACAGAGATACAGAAAACCATAGCCCCATACCAAAAAAGAACCAATGAGCAATCAGCATTCCAAAAATTACTGATCCGGATTGGTCACAATGAACCAATCAGAGACTCAAGCTCACTGCACCAATTGGACACCTGCTTGGCTAAAGATCAATTAAAAGTCAG